CCACAGACTTGACTGCTGGTTCTTGCGTGGGCAAAGGGCTCATACAAGAGAATGAGACATTGTTTGCACAACCAGCCAGCCTCTTTGGAGGATTTCGCCTCCCTAAGGGAACCTGCCATTTTCCAAAGCGCTACTGTGCGCTGTGTGCCTGTATACATTCATACAGATGCACACATATGGACATCCATAAACATACACACCTTGGCAGGTGTGCACTGGGGTAAACACGAAAAGGCTTTCACTGATCATCCTCTTTTCTAAATGTTTGGCTCAAATTTGGTAGCTGCAATTTCATTTTAGATGCTCGCTCCAGGTCTCAGTATGCCCTGGACTTCTCTAGTGACGGCACTTTGCATTTACTCTTTTCCTTCTCAAAGCATTTCACAAAAGAAACATGAATTATTTCATCATTCTTCAGGGCTCCCAGTATCACTGGGCCAGTGACCTGCTGCCTGCACGGCCAGCAGACTGGCAATCTTGAGAACAACATGAAGATTTTTTCTATAGGAAATGCTGTGAGAAATCCACAGGCAATGAACTGGGATGCTGTTTTGAAGCTATTTTATTTTACGCACTGCATCAATGATAGAGCTGACTTAAAATCCAATATCCTGATCCTGCCACTTTGGAAAAATCTTTAGATGAGCCCAGCATTAGCCAACTTCTGAAGAATGGCACAAAACAGCCTGTTCCTGTTTTATGTGTTAGTCCCCCGTGATCCTCTGCAAAGGTGCAATCTCTCTGCCTTGGGTGGAATTTTCTAACAAAATTCACAAATACTACCTATGAAATGGACAAAATAACCCATAAAGCCTTTAAAGAAGAACAGCTCAATCTGCTGCTCTGAAAAAAACCCTCCCTTTAGCTTGCCCCTGGTATCTCAAGGAAAATAGGCAGCTGTCAGGCAGAACTCATGTGGCCCCAGAGCGCAAAGGCTTTTTTGCTTTATCAGGGCTACAGTGGCAGTGGGAACCATTCTCATTGAGTTACAAATACTAGATAGCCTAAGAAAAACAGGGAGATTGAAACAGTCATGAAGTTTATATTGAAACTATTTTTTACCTCTGTAGTATGAAGTCACCTACAGCTGTTTCATTATTCACCTAGGAGATTTCATGTTGATGGGCACATATACTCACAGAGAAGTCTATAGGATGAATATATCTCACAAGGCAACAGCCCAGTCTTTTTTACAATCAAAGTTAATATGGATCTTTTTCAAAAGTGATGTCATTGAGATTGAAGACAATTATAAATTGTATCAACAATATGTACTACAGCCTGCAAGTCACAATCTGTGCACACCAAATGGAATATATTATTGCTTGTTAGCCTATTAGACTTTCTTTATAAAAAGATTTTTATACAGAGTACAGGATTATGACAAAACTAGCTAAGTAGTTCTCATCTTGAAAATACAACATCAATTCTTTCAACAAAGGCTTGAATAGCAGCTGAGAGTTAATGAATGATAACAAATATTTACTAATAATTTTATGGCCAGTTTGAACAGAATTTCTTATAGGACTCTTTTCTGGTGTTTATTTACATATGCCTCTTTTCTTTTGGAAAAATGTTGATAAAATATAACAAGCAACATAGAAATCAAAAGAATGAGTAAACTTTGTACCAAGAACATTAAACATTTTTGAAAACACTAAATTATGTTCTCTGTTAAAAAACATACATCATTTTGTCTTTAAAGAAAAATATTTTTCCTGTTTTAAAATATTACCAACAGCATGTAATAAACTAACTTAAAATGAGTTTCATAAAAAAGTTGTCTTGCTGTCTAAACATTACTAAACATGCTTAGGTTGAGATTCTGTTAACTGCCTCAACATCTTAAAAATAGCTCCTTTATAGGAACCTGTGATATTCATACTCCAGAAGACCTGCAAATTTAGCACAGTACATTGATAAAGGATCCGGTAGCTAGAAACAATAAATATATATTTTCATTCAAAGCAAGTAATTCTGCAATGTCCTTGTCCATGGCCAAGAAAGTGGGGATGTACTTGGCTAAACAATAAAGTCATTTGGCCCTTACCCTGCCTGTGGACACAAACGCCTGCGTGAAGTGCAAAAGGGATGCTCCAGCCCGCCTACACAGCTTCAGCTGCAGGATGAGGACCCATGGACTGAATTGTAGAGTGAGGACCTTGCGTTGGCTCTGTGGCGTCCCAGCTGTGTTGGGACAAAGGGAAAGCAACACCAGGAGACTGGGAAAATACCACATTTTTTTGCCTGAACAAACCAGGACTAACCATGGTCACGGCTGCTTTTTGCTCAGACCACAAAGAGGACAAAGCCGCATGCGAGGCTGCTCTCCCTGTGTGCAGGGCATTCCCACTGGGGAGAGATCATTCTGCTCTCAGGGATACTCTCAGCATCAGGATTTCTTTGTTTTCCATGGTAATAGTAATGCAGGTAATATTTAGGGACTGGCTCTCCTTTCTTTTTTTTGGCAAGCAATCCTTCCATTACTATTAAAATGTAGTATTTCATGCACAAGGAACAGGGAATCACCCCTGAGCTGGGCAGGTATTTATCTCTCCTCAGTCTCAAATAATATGTGCCTTTTTTTTTTTAAGTCTCCTGCTCTTCCTCTCTCTCCCCCTCCCTGACTACAACTAACAGCTAGACTCAGACACAGGAAAAACTCAGTCAGGACTTGCAAACAGGACCAAAGTTTAGTTTTCAGCTGCTTGCCACTCTAGCAAACTGCTACTTTTTACACAACCACACTGGTAATCCCAACTGTCATATCACATCACCTTAGACAGAAACTGGCAAGTCAAATTTGGGGGAAAAAAAGGGTTAGGCTTTAGAAAAATAAGCTATTCCAAGCCTGAGACTTGCCTTGGATGCTATACTGGGAGTCTTTAAATTGATGGATAACTAGAAGACTTCTTTTTTAACTATAATACACCATGGTCAGTGCAGGAATCACAGGCATGAGTGAAGCAACAATTTAGCCTGTAGGGTACTGTGCAACTCTCCTGGCCTCACTCAGCACCCCGTGGGCGCTCTCAAAAGGGCTCCTGTGAGTCTGCTTTACAAAGGAAGATCATCTGCACTTGCCAGTTTGCGTGACTTTGCTGTGCATGGCAGCCAGGCAGGGGTGTTGCAATGTTTGCATACTGGGGAGAAATGGGACTTGAAAGTGAGTAGAAACAAAAGCGAGAACCACTGGACTACAACCAACCACGTAAAAAATGCAGAAGAAAACAGGATGGAGCAGACTATTAAAACTGCCTCCAAATTTCAGAATCTGAGACATTAACAAAAATAACACAAGTAAAACTGTAACTTTTTTTTTTTTACCCTGACAGTGACCGTTTAGCATGATTAAAAACATACGGAAGATAGTCCTCAGTGTTAAGTAGTCCTGTTGTAACTGAACTGATCATCATTGAGCTTGCAGAGCTTTTGGAGGGATAGGATAGAGACACGTCACATTTGTCAGGCATACAGGAACTGAGCTTTTCAACAGACAGTCATTAAACAAAGTTTTCCGGGGGGAGAACTTTTGGCATATATAGTCTCCTACTCCCCATTAAAGACTGCAAAAATGTTGCATTCATCTTACTGGACACAGGAAAACATGATTAACTAGCTATTACTGGTAGATAATGTCCAAACTAAGTACCAATATAAAGTTTTCAGCATAACTTAAGACAGAAGCCCTGTTACTCAGCTGCCAGGTCTGGCATGTACCTGGAGCTCCCCACGGTCCTTTTTAAAGACATAGTTATTAAAAGATCCAGTGCTACAAACCACTAAATCTACCTAATCTATTCTAGTTCATACACATATTGTACAATATTGCCTAGTACTCACTACATACCAAGAGGAAAAGATGCTGACTTGAATTACAGTAAATGTGCTTTTTTTAAAAAATAAAATTAAGAGAGCGCGCCACAACATAGTTTGACCAGCATGCAACAAACTTTCTTCAGCTAATATATAGAAATTGCCTAATACAATTAGAAAAAATAATTAGTGAGAGGCCAGAGACGTATTTGATCAAGGAAATTAAGAGATTTATCTGAAATGTTGAGGCTTTTGCCACTGAAGACTCAAAAAACTATTCATTCTATGTCCCTTATCCTCCTTCCCTCTCCTTTATATTATATAATTTTTTACAGAGATTATTGTAAGGCCTATTATTTTTGCATCTATCCTGTAATTTATCTCAAAATAATTTAAAATGCCATAGACAAGCTAGGACCAAAAGCAACCGCCTTTACCACCCACTCAACACTCATGCTTTTATTCTAACAAAGCTGAGGTCCACATGCAGAAATAAATGTTCAGTATGCCTCTATGACAGGTCAAGAATCTGCTCCTTCCTAAACGTGACATGGGACCTTCGCTTTCAAATCACAAAGTGAAACATCTCCAAAAGCTTATTCTGAGACAGCAGTCATCAAATCCTCATTAGGAACTAAGACAAAACCTAGCCAAAACAGGTTTATCAACAGAAAATCTCTGGAGATTCTCTGTGATTTTCAACAGTAAGTTTTTAATTGTCTGAAGCATCTAGCGCACTTACTCCAGCACATGACTCTGCTGATAACAGCTGCCGTAGCTCAGTAGGTCAGAGAATGTGCTTTACTGGCTTAATCTACAAGACTCGGTTACAGTTAGTGTTGCACTTCAATTAACAAAATATACATGCTGCGACCACTGCGTCTTCAGATTCCTCACCCACTACCTCTCCGTACTTTGGGGACTGCACCTTCTCTTGCAGGACACTTGACAATGTTTGTGTACTACTGAGACTGCCTAAAGCACCTTCCTCTCCACAAGGAAGGTTACATGCTCTCCAGCACCTTCTTGTCTGGTGACAAACTGAGGTTTCTTTCTTCTGCAACCCCAGAAACCTCAGTCTCCTCTCCTGTGGCAGAATAAAACAGTCCTGTTTCAGGTCAGTCCATAGCACAACAGGAAGGGCAGCATCTCCAGCAGATATGTACCAGTACAAAGGAGATGGAAGAAAAGCAGGAGATAGAAGACACCATGACTGAAGGATGCACAGCAACAATTAAGGGAGTCAGTAAATTGCAGAACATTGTATCTGACAATACAAAACATATCTCAAGCTGCAAGTCTGATGTTCAGCTCCCTCTTCTACTGGTTTTTTTTTCTGAGCAAAATTGCAGTTAATTAGCCTGCTAAACTTGAACTCTGTTCAAACTGTCTGGTCTAAGTAGGTGCTACTTATTCTCCCACCAAGTATGCTTCATCAGCAGTGTTAGACAAGTAATGCAGTAAAGACACTTGCTGGTAATTTGGCACAGTTTGAAAACACAGCAACGACAGTGTTACAGTTAACATGACTCAGTGATAGGGAACTGATTCTAAAGAAAGAGTTGCAGGTTTCTTTCTTTTTCTTCCTTTCAAGAAGAAAAGACCTTATAAAAAAACCCTAATGCTTCCTCTTAAACTTTCTGCTTCTACTCTTTTTAGGTCAGATATTGGCTTCTGAATTTTTCAGGTACTTTCTTGTGAAAGAATCCGTATTAGAAATCACAGTTAAGAAAAATACCTTCCTTACTCCCCCCAAATTCTTTCAAATGCTGCAACTTTCCAGGGTTAATACTGATCTGAAACAAGGGTCCAAGAATGACAGCGAGAGAAGTGAAACAAGAGGTGTATGTCTAATTTGACAACTAGGACTCATGCCCCACGGCACCTCCTCCTCGGACGGAGAGGGCACAGCGCCCTCCCCCTCGTCTTCTGTCTAAGGTCACTGGTTTATCCTCCTCTTCCAGCTCCACAAGAACTGATTGAACATGCATTGCGCTTGAGGTCAGAGTTCCAGCAAACAAAACCTTGACAGCATGTTTAAAAAACAAAAGCAGTTCCCCCTTCCTTACTCTCTAAGACCTGTCACAGCAGGGTCCCACTGTGCTCTCCAGGGAAAGCTGGGAGGACTGACGCAGGAGTGGGCCTGTAGTGGGATCTACCATTGAGGAGGTTGGGAAGAGCTTGTACCAGCCGATTGCTAAAGTCGACAAATCCAGTTCTTCCAGGAGGACCCTGGCGACTCCCATGAAGTGCTTGCGCTCCATGCGTCCATAGTTTCCCCAGACTATCACCTTAGGAACAAGAGGGGGGAGCACAGTTAATCCTCCAACTTGCACACTTGCTTGTGAAGCACAAGTCTTATCAATCCTTCTTTCTACTCATCCAACTTCCTGGGGCTTTACTACAGTCTGAGCAGAAAAGTTTACACTACCAACAGGTGACGTGAAGCTCTGGCTGATGATTTTACAGTTTTTTTAAGCACAGTTTTATAAATCTTAATGCTATCAGACTTCCCCCCCCCATGGAAAACAGGTGAATGTGCACGTGGATGAGACACCATCCTGCTGCTCTACCTGCTGGGCAGGAACAGCACATACACAAAGTATCCCTGGAGCTGCAGCTCCCACACCTGCAGGTAAAACCTGGTCCTGGCACAGTAACGGGCCTTGGACACAACAAAAAGTGGCCCAGGGGAAAAGGGCAGGAAGGGCTCCTGATCTGGAAAAACAAACCAACAAAAAAATAGGTGGGCAATAGCTTGGGGCAAAAGCCAACAGTTTGAGGAGAAGAGCATGTCGTAACTTCTGCACTTGGAGTTCGTGACACAGGGCAGATGGAGATGAGGCACAGCTACTCACCTGGAGAAAGGGCAGGAGCCGAGCGCTGGCAAGCAGGACTGGTGATGCAAGGGGCACACATGGAGGGGCATGCAGGGGAAGCAGAACAGACTGCTGAGAAAGGCTTGTAGGCACAGAGGAAGGTCTAATGAAAGGGAGCTGGCAGACAAGCAGGGAAAGCTGAATTGCACTTACGACACGATGGAGACCAGTGGGTGGAACAACAGATGTAGTGAGGGTCATGGGCTTAAGCATGCTGGAGGTCTGCATGTGGCCAAGTGGCCCTATGTGGCTCAAGACAAAGGTGACGACTGACTCCAGAGTGAGTCCATGTTCTGAAGAGGAGAGGATGAGTACGATGGGTTATGATGGTGACTAGTGATCTCTGGCTAATCCTGACAGCTTCTTTCCCTAGGCTCCAAATAACCAGAACATTACAACTTCCTGTAAAATGAGGTAGGCGAGACAATGGATGCCAATTAAAAGACAAAAAATAACACTCCAGGTCAGCACAAGATGGAGCAAGCCACTGCAGAAAGGTGGTTTGGTGGCATAGCCACTGGTAGAGAGCCAAGCTCCTCATTTTATTCTCTTGGAATAAGTGTCTTTCCTGGCAGCAAGGCAGCAGGTAAGGAAACCCATGCAAGGCAAGAGCAGACCAAGCCAGGTCCCACCCCATTTCAGTCAAAAATGTGCAGTCTCATTACAACAGTGGAAAATGCTTCTAATCAAGGTAAATGAGGAAGAGTTCACTAGTGAGAAGGATCTAGCAGGTTAGCTGGCAATTCATATGCCAGTGGAGGTAAGCAATAGAAACTTACAGATTAATTACATCAGTATTACCAGTGGATTTTAGCTAGGCTTTATTAGATGGAAATGATTTAGGTATGAATTAACAGTACAAATCATTCTGCTCTGGAAATATAGGTGTGGAAATAAAAATATGAGTATGGCAGAAAATGTATAGCAGTAAAAGAAAAGAGGTAGAAAAAGGTAGGATATGTGATTGGGTGATGGCCAAAGCAGAGTGCTCTGAATATGTATAAACACAGAAGACAACCCATGCTGCAAGATTGTTTAGCATCTATAGGTACTACCTATCTCCTAACTGGGCAGGAAAAAAAAAATTAAAAAAATAAAAATCAACCTTTTCCTGGTAGGCACTCATGTTACCTGGCAGGGTATCAAATAATAATCAGTTTGAGTATGAAAAAAAGGTTTTCCTTTCCATTTGTCACGTTCAGATCAAGTGCATTTGGTTCAGCTGAAAACATTGGCTTTTTCTCATCTATGTTAATTATTCACATTGCTTGCCAGACTTAATATCTTCCAACAGATGTGGAAGAGAGAGATGGGCAGACCTGAGACTTGCTCATCTTACCTGTAATACTTTGCCCTGGGGGCTCTCAGCAAACAGTAACACCTGATTGTACAAAGGGTCTAATGATTTGCGAGCCACTTTTGTCTTCTTTTTCGCAATGCACACGCCATTCTCTAGCAGGTAAGCTTTGATGTAAGCAGCTGGAAAAAATAAATGTTGTCAAATATGAAAAAATCTTCCTGCTCACTTTAGAAAAGACAGAGTGCCATGTCTCAGTTATTTCTAAAGAAGGCATTTACAGCAGTGAAAAGATTTGCTCAACCAGCCTGATTTTCAATACTGCATACAGACTGCTTATTCCTGCAGAAGCCAAGCAGAATTAATTTTTTTCGTATTCACAAGCATCACAGGAGGCTGGGGCTCAGTGAATTACTTTAGGAGGTCAAAGCATACTACCTGGCAGTGTTTTGGAGCCGGGTTTTGGTGTCAGTCCTCGAGCCTGAATGATATCCACTTCTAGCTGCCCATTTCGCTCTTGCAAGCCAATTTCCACATCCCCTAAACCAAAATGTCAAAATAGACAGAAGACTTCCAAAACAATACATCTACGGGCTACTAAAATGTTAAAAAAGAAAACAATCTTTGTGTCACACCTGATACAAGCTCTAACAAACTGTAGGCCCCGAGTGCCTGATCTCCTCCTGCATTACTCTGGAGTAAGCAGCTCTACAGTGATTCCAGCCCGTATTTTCAAAAGCAATCTCAACTATCAGCCCTCTAACATGGCTTTGGTGACTCAGTCTCATACTCTTCAGCGGCAGCTAGCCTCTCATCTCTCCCAAACTGAAGCACCTAGAATCGCAGGCTGCTTTGGAAAATGCAATTATGGTGGACCATAAGAAAATCTTTACAGAGCCTGGTGGGTCTTAGAGAGCAAGAAAAACATGAAGATGCACAGCATGCGTATTCAGGATTTTAGCTGTGTTTCACTTAGTCTGTGCCTTTCAGATCCAACAGAGGAAAGCATAAAGCTGGTGCTCTCCTACTAATGCCACATTTGCAGCAATCAGCAAAACCTTTCAGCCAAGCTTACTTGATTTAACAGAGAAACTAAGCTGGAGAGCAGTAGATCAGCAGATACTGGACACATTAGGTGGCTTGTAGGAATGGTCTGTTCAAGACTAAATGAAAGCCACCTAACATTTTTGTGTTCCTTACCCATTGAAGTGGTGGCCAAGGTCTGACGTCCAACAAATTGTGCAGGGCCCATGCTCCCCAGGAAGTCACTAAACTGCCCAGCAGATGCCAGATGGACTCCACTGAAATTCAAGCTGCAAAAGAAATTGATTTTGGCAAATGATTAATTTGCATTTTAAAGCAACCCAGCGACTAAAGAACCAGATTTAATGTATCTTTGAAATGAATGACATCTACAGAAGCCTTCTTGTCTCACAAAACTCGCTGATTTCCGGCCAGTTTAGTTACATGGAATCCATTTAAAATCCCTTTCCTTGTACAAAAAAACCCAACAGTAATGGTTGCAGTCACCAGTTAGTTAATACTTGTTTAACTGTAACTAATTGCCTGTAAGGAAACTCTCTGCTGTATCAGGCTCATATGCAGCCTGTCACTCTTCCAGGTAGCATTATAATCTAAGCAGCTTCCTAGCATAGCTTATAGGATCTCTCTTGGTAGCTGTCCCTTCCCAGTCCTCATTTCTGAGGAAATAATGCATCTAGAGCAGCAGATGAAAGTGAGATGAGGGGTGCTAGCATCAATCCCCTTGGGACTCAATTCCCTATTTATCACACACACACAGAGCAATGCATCTCCTTCCTGACTAAAGGGCCCCATTTCCTACCACTCAACACCAGAAACGCCCATCACATCTACTGCGTGGTTTCCATACCTGCTTCCACAACCATCCTGAAGCAGTTACGAAGACAACCTGGACATTGGTGCAAGGCTAAAGGGATAACACCCTCAAACACCAGCAACGCCTCTGCCGCAGTCACTGCAGCAAACCAAAAGCTGTCAGGGGGACAGAGCCCCCAGATCTATTCACCAGGCACCTGAGGCTGGTCTACTGCATGGCTGCAGGTGCTGGTCACTGCACTGCACATGGGTGAAGCAATGCAAAAGGGTCAAACCCTGTGGTGCACCGATACAAACCAAGATTTACCCAGTTGTACCCTGATTTACACAGCTGTTTCAGAGGCTGTGGGAAAACTTGCTGCAAGTGGTAAGGAGGAAGCTTGAGGGCACCATTTGACACCTACCTTTGTCCTGCAGGCATCTGCCAAACCACAAAACAGCTGCTGAAACACAGACCAGGAGCTCTGTACTGGGGTACCCATGCTACTGCACCGGGTTTTGCACTCTGCCTCGCAGGGAAGCTGCTGCATGCCGAAGTCAGCCACAATTATGAACCTCCTGCACATTTCCAAATGTCATTGGAGAGGGACAATCACCCATGTAATGATACAGCTCCCTGCTGCCCCAAATTTGTTTCTTAGAAAGGATGCTGTGAGGAGGCCGCATGTTTGGTACAAGTGAAGCCAGAGAGGAACCCTGCCTGTGGAGCAGGCTGGGGACCGCAGGCTCTCATGCAGACCGAGTCAGCCACAAGGATTCATTGATTCCCCCCCCGCAAGTCAGTCACATTTAAAAGACATTAGGAAAAAAAATTTTTTTTAAGCCCCATTCACCCAGAAGAGTGTTAATTTCAGGTTGGGATTTCAGCTCTCATTAGCTATTTGCAGACCTGGTCTCAGCCCCATGGGAGTATTTATTTATTCAGATGAGGAATGAGGAAGCCAGCACACACACCTCAGCATCTCACCATGCATGGGTCTGAAGAGGATGTGTCACTAGCACATGTCCTCATGACAGGTTCATGGGGTGGCTCAGCTCACTGTGACAGGGGCACCGAATTAAATAGCCAGACTTTTCCACAGAGCACTGCACCTCCCCTCTACGCTGACCTTGCTCTTTGAGAAACCTGGTTATCGCTGCTATACAGGGAGCTGCTGAGCCATTGGCATGGAAATACCTGCCCTTGAGCTCTTTAAAAATGTCACCTTTGTGAAAAGGGATGAGGGTGTCTCGGCATCCTGGGAGACAGGTTTGGGAGGGGCTCTGCACAGGGTGGATTTTCCCCAGTTTGGTGTTTTTTCATCCTGCATCCACTGTTTGCACAAACACTCTGGGTGATATTTTGAGATGCAACAGAAACAGCGTGATTTATAATTGGCATTAATTGCGGAGAAGGCTTAAGACTTTTCTGGGTTTTCAGTATCACCGACTCCTCAGAGGTGCAAGGCACATCCCCAGTGCCACCGTCCATCCTGGGGGCAAAGGCAGTGCAGGGCTGCACTCTGCTCCCTGTGGGTACGCAACTCCTGCCCCATCACCCAGCTGGTGTCTGCCAGCCCCGATGGGGCAGCCCTCTGCAGGGAGCAGTGCCCCGAGCACAGGACCAGGGCAGAGATGCTGGATTTGTAGCCAGGCTCCTGAAGACAGACTGTGCACAGACAGAGACATCCCCAGGGCTGGTAAATCTGCAGGGACAGGGACATGTGATAGGGAAAGCAGGGGAAGGGGGAGCCCGGAGCCAGGCATGCTTTATCAGGCTCATGATTTGCCCATACAAGGAAGGAAGAAGTGAGTCCTGGTGTACACAAGGACCAGCGAGACTCCTTGAGCCTGCTGGCTCAGGGATTTTGAGCTGCCCACAGAGTGTCAAAAAAGGATGAAAACTAGTGCTTGGAGAACCCAAAATAGTTCAAGTAAAAGGAGACCTGACAGAGAAAGACATAAGATTGAGCAGGAGATGAATGGACCATCAACCAAAAGGTAAATGTTTTCTTTATTCTCCTGAACTCATGGAAGATAGATGGACCAAGCTTGGGTCTTAGTCCTACCCTGGGGAGTATGTGACCTGAACGAGCACATAAATAACAAGCTGGCAAGACAACTCACACCCATTCAGGGAAATGTTCTCTACCATGCTCAAAACAGATGCTTTGGCTCATTAACAAGATGCTAAGGACCAGGACAGTGGAGGGGAAGCCCAGGACTGAGCGAAGCCTAGTGCTCTGAGAGCCCACAACACATCCAGAACCAGGTCTCAGAGCGACCCCTTTCCGAGGTGAAGTCCGGTCGTGTTACTGCAGTGGAGACACAAAGCTGGGAAAAGATCACTCACAGAAACTCCACTCTCTGCAAAACAGCAAAGAGAGACCCTTCTGGCTCCTGAATACTCAAAATGATTCACAAAACCTGCCACAGAAGACCATTTCCCCTTACCTGCTGGGGAAAGAACATCACTGAAGGCTGATGTCAAATATTTGTCTGCTCTTGATGTGTGTGTGGAGAGAAACCACCCATGCTCTTGCACACCAGCTCACCCCTCCTTTGGGCAACACTGCTCCCAAAGGCTCTGCCCAAAGCTGGGGCAGCTAAGGAGCAAATAAAAGCACCTGCTAACAGAGTAGCTGATGCTGCAGCCTACATCAATGATATTCCAATGTGAAGCAAAATAGCAGGAAAGCATGAAGAACAGTGTTGAAAAGCACAAGAACAAGAGCTGTTGGGCTAAAGGTGAACCAATAGTAACTGGAAGTGTTTACAGCAAAGCAAACATTGCTGTTATCGCCACACAGGTTCAGAAGTCAGAGGGCTTGGGATGACCTCAAAATGATGAACGCTTCTCAGTGCAAATTACAGCAAGAGGGCAGGACATTGCTGCAGGGACACCAGGGCTGTGCCGCAAGCATGGACCGTAGCAAGGAAAGCAGTCGAGCCGCTACCTGAATGAAGATGCTGCTGCTTTGTAGCACTGGGGCTGATCTCGAGAGGAACAGCAAAAGCCTGCTTAAAAACACGGGCCAAAGTCAAGACTTCGGCAGTTTGGATAACAGCCTCAGTTAATAGGTTTACTAGCACTACATGAAACTCAGTATTAGGTTAGACAGTTAATGTTCCCTGTTGTGTTATATCTGACCGGGAAGTGAAGATGTAGAGAATTAATTCTTTAATAGATTATGCCATTAGCTGGTAGGACTGGCTGCTACATTGCACAGAGGCTGACCTTTTGCAGCGCTGCTTTATTAGACATTAGAAGCAGCAGCTCTAAATCAGGCTCCTTGGCTTTGACCAATTCCTGGACATATATTTGGGTATTGCCAATAACCCTGGAATGGAAACAATTTCTGTCTGGAAAAATCATAAGCTACCTCCAAGAAAGCAATTGCTTCTCCCTTGAGAGAAGAGGGAAGGGGAAAATAAAACTGCAGAAATTTAGTATGAATGTGAATTAAAAACAGCAGGAACCATTTAGCTGCATCGGCTAAATTTAGGATGCCCAAATCCAGCTCAGTGAGCTCTGTCTGCCAAGTGCTCAGAGAGAAGCTGGGATGCTGAGGTGAGGGGGCCATGTACAGTGTGGTTCTGAGACTGGTGGGACAGACCCTCCCCATTCACTCACTTGCTTTTCCTGCAGCTGAAGCAGGGAGGAAAAGAGCTCCAGGGACCACCGTGACTTCTTTCAGGTTCCTAAACACAGCCCTAGTGCTCCCAAGAGCTCTCCTCTGCCACTGTGCTGCCTGCTGCATGCTCAGCAGACTTCTCCTGCCTGACCTCCGAAGAAACAGAGCCATTTCTCACCTGCCCTTGGTTCAGCAACCAGCTCTCCAGCTGAACCACCACATGCTGGATGTGCTGGCAGGGAGACACGCTCCCAAAGGGATCCACCACAGGTTACAGCGGCAGCTCCACCTTGGGTGAGAGCCAGCAGATGGGTTTCACGTGCACTGGAGCAACCCTGGAAAGCCCTTCCCCTCCCATCACCAAGCATGCCTCTCCCTTAAGGGGAGAAATCGCTACAACCTGGTTATCACCAACACAAGATGTCTTTTTTTTTATTGCAATCTAAAAAGAAGTGCTAAAAATAGCAGGAGGAATAAAGAGGGAGCATTTCGCAGCTGACTTGCAAATAGCAACTGTCATAACCAGCAGGGCCCTGGGGACCGGGGCTGCGGCAAGACCATCTTGTGCTGACAAACAGCCACACAGAGAAGATTAACAGGTGACACTTGTCAGCCTTTTGTCTAAAGGGCACATATCCTCCACTGAGGGAGGGCAGCACCACCGTTTGAACAAGAAAGAGAAATTAATTATCTCTTCTCTGGCCCTCTGCTTTCACTAATCATGATTCATGGGCTCTGCTTTGCCACAGCTGAATGAGAATGATTTTAATGAAGTTAAAGATTGTGGGTTTTGCTGTGGAATTGGTTTGAAGTTGAACATGGCTCTGTTATTGACCTGAAGG